TCTTCCACGTGAAACACTTGGTGGCCAGGCTTCAACGTTCGTTCATTGTTTTTCATGGCCCTATTGGAAGATTCAGATATGGGCGTGCCATCGCTTATGGAATATATCACATTCACTTGGCGTTGGTTGCGGTTATCCCTTGGAGGGTGAAGGAGGAACTGGTCAATTTTTCCTTCACGTGCCAAAACTTCAATATGATCACGGAGGGTGATACATTTCTCGCCGTCATGGTCATTATACTCGTGGTAACCACAAAACATGCATGTGTTCTTCGTGGACTTGAAATCTGGCTCCCTCGGCCTTAGCTTTGGTATCAAGTGAGCTATACTGGGGTAAATGGCCGTGCATGTGGCGTTCAAAGGTGTGTATGTCTCATACCTCGGGGTAGGACCATTCTTGACACGTGTTTGGCCCACTGCATTGACTGCCTGGGGGCGAGTATTATCGTGGTGATACCTTTGGTTATCACGATAGTGCCCCTTACTCTTTTTATTAAAATGAGATTGGTGAGGATGGAAGTCTTTCCTCTTGCCCTGAGAATGATACGCTTGTTGACTTGGCGAGGTATTAAGTAGAGCAGGGGGAAGCGTCGCTGTTGTTTAGAAGGTTAAGGTCTTCTCATTCAGTTGGATTTGGCTTCCACTATCCATTTGCTAATAAGGGATAGCTGTAGGGAGTTTCCCTTCATATGTCTTTTCATCGGCGGAGGCATGGTTATAAGCCTGTGCCATTACCTCATAATAAGTCTTCCAAGTGTTAACATTGATTATGTACTTGAAGAAACAATCGCGTAAGCCTACCGTGAAGGCTTTAAGGGTGGTCTTGTCATTTGCCTCAGCACAACGAGAATACTCATGGCTGAAGCGGCCGACATACTTTGGTAGTGACTCATCCAACTTCTAGCGAATAGTGTACAAATCATCTGCGGAATGCAAGCGATCTGTCTGGAAGATGTGTTGAGAGACAAATAGTTTCCTCAGTTCCTCAAATGAGTCTACTGTCTCAGGTAGAAGATAGCAATACCAATTCAGGGCTCCGCCAGAGAGGGTAGAGGGGAAGAGAAAACATCGTTCTTCATCAGTGTGCATCCGGTATGCCATGGTGGACTCAAAGAGGTTAAGGTATTCAATCGGGTCTTCCCTTCCAGTGTAGAGTTGTAAGCCAAGCTTCTGCTTTGTCTTTTCTTGGAGGAGGGTGTCGAGGATCCTCCTTGTAAGAGGGCCAGGCCTAGGTTGGTTCCAATTAGGTATTTCGGCCTGACGTTCGGCCTTCAACTTGTTTACTTCCTCAAGGAGTTGTAGGACAAGGGGGTCCTGAGTGGAGTCAGGTACTGCTGGATTCTTCTTCCGTAAGTCTCCATCTCCTCTTGGAAGTAGGAAAGCTTGGTCAAGGGCATGGGATTTTTCTTTGGACTCACCGTACTGACTTCCAGGGCGAGCCTGTCAAAACGCCCCCGAGTCCCCCGTACCTTTATATTCCTCTAAGACATGTCGCTCATTTCCTAGATTAGCAATTGGCTTAGGGTATGGAAAAGGACCGAACCTTTCAGAAACCCTTGGATCATTGACCTTCGAGCTTATATGGATGGGATTCTCTCGACGTTGCCTCAGGAAGTCCCGACAGTCGCGATAAACAGCTTTTGATCCTTCTACTCCTTCTGCAAGAAGGTGCCTTCCTCCACTTCTCCTGCTTCGGGTCAAAGCAGCTAGGTCGAGAAAGGTCTCATGTTGATCAACACCTTGATGAGTAACTCGCTCCCCATTAGGGACATCCATGTTGAAGACAGGTGATCCCCCGTGTTGGGGGGCACCCAGGTGGTGGTTGACTTCCCCAGGGGCGATGAGTTCGTATGTTTGAGTATGCCTAGCTTCATGGAGCATTCTGAAAAGCTTCTCATACTGCTCCTGGAGGATCTCATTCTTTATCGCTATTTTGTTGTTCTGAGCCTCTAGCTCATCGACTTTAGCCTAAAGAGCAAACCTCTTTCGTTGCTTTGCACTAAGTGCGAGGGGGGTGTCGTTCTGCGTGATGTGGTTCCCTTCACTCCCCATGTTGGAGGGGTGCATAGTCAAAAGAAAGTGTGCCAATGGTGGAAACCAACTTGACAAAGTTGGAAAGAGTAGGAATAAGTGCAATTCCCACAGACGGCGCTAAATGTTGATGCACAAAATCGACGAGGACTTTAGTACAACAGAAAGTGTCAAGTTTGTGACCTTCGCTAGGTTACTCTGGTCATTAATGTGGATAAGTATGTAAATGAATAGAGACAGGGAAGCAAACAACACAAGATGTACGTGGTTCACCCAGATTGGCTACGTCCACGGAGTAGAGGAGTTCAAATTAGTTGTCAAGGGTTTACACAAATACATAAGTTCAAGCTCTCTTTTAGTGAGTTCTAGTGAATAGTTTAGTACAAATGACATTAGGGATTATTGTGGGAGAATGATCCCCTTTTATAGAAGAGAGTTTCTAGCTTTGTTTTGACATTGACACGTATCGTGTTGTGATTGGCCTCTGATATCAACACGTGTCGCGCTATGATTGGCCTCTGATACCGACATGTGTCGTGTTGTGATTGGCCTCCTAGTTGGAGGAAAAGTCTGTGGATCCTTGACAGTATGTTGTTGACCGGTGCTTAGTAGTTTCGGGATTGGTCAAGTATGGTACAAACAACAGGTATAAAGCCCGCTTGGTTGCAAAAGGGTTTCACCAACAAGAAGGATTAGACTATACTGAAACCTTCAATCCAGTTGCCAAACCTGTGACCATTCAACTTATTCTCACTCTTACAACTCAATTTGGATGGTTTCTCAATCAACTAGATGTAAGTAATACCTTTCTACATGGCACACTTACTGAATCCGTGTTTATGCAACATCCACTTGGTTTTTAAGATCCCATAAAACCAACTCATGTTTGTCAACTACACAGATCCTTCTATGGCCTGAAACAGGCTCCTCAAGCCTAGTATGACAAACTTCATCATGCTTTGCATTCTCTTGGGTTCACATGTTCTCAAAGTGATCATTCTTTGTTTGTGAAGAGTTCTCCATCATTGGTCTTCATCCTAGTCTATGTGGATGATATCTTGGTGACTGGTCCAGATTCTGCAGCATGTCAAGAGGTTATAACTCAACTCATTGCCCTTTTTTCCATTAAGGATCTTGGTGCCCTTCATTATTTCCTTAGTATTGAAGTCAAAAGATCATCCTCTGGTTTCTTCATATCTCAAACTAAGTACATTTTGGATCTCTTAACCAAAGCCAAAATGGAAGGTGTTAAACCTTGTATCACTCCTCTTAGTACAACTAAACCTGATCACTCTTCTCCTCTTCTTGACAATGCTTCTGAATATCGATCATTGGTTGAAGCACTTTAGTACTTAACCTTGACGCGACCTAGTCTGAGTTTTGCAGTCAACTTGGTTTGTCAATTCATGTATAGGTCACGAGTTTCACATCTGTAAGCAGTCAAAACGCATTCTCAGATACATAAATGGGTCTATTGATCTCGGTTTATGGTTTTCCAAGAGTTCCACATCTCCATCTCTTTAAGCCTTTTCAGATGCCGATTGGGCAGGCTGTTTATTGGATAGAAGATCCACTGGTGGATATTGCATATTCTTTTGCAACTCACTCATTAGCTGGAGTGCCAAGAAGCAACCCACTGTCGCTCGATCTTCCACAGAAGCGGAATACCGGTCTTTTGCAAACATAGCTGCTGAAATCACTTGGATTTGCAAATTACTCACTGACATTGCTTATCCTCTCCCTTCTTCTCCACAGTTATGGTGTGATAATGTTTTTGCAATCTCATTGGCCAAGAATCCTATATTCCATGCTCGAACCAAGCATGTTGAAATCGATTATCACTACATACGTGAAAAGGTTCTTGTCAATCAAGTCTCTCTGCAGTTTGTTCAAACACAGGACCAAATTGCTGATACATGTACCAAATCTCTCTCTAAATCCAGGTTCATGGTTCTACGAGACAAATTTCAACTAAAAATTCCCCAATTTCGTTTGCGGGGGAATATTAATGATAAAAATGTAATAACACCTACAAGGGAGAATACTTAGAGGATAAGGAATCTTAGTTTGTTTTGGTTGTTTTTCCTTTTCTGTTAGTTGTGATAGTTTGTGTATGAATACCCAAGTGTAAACATTATTCATTTATGCAATGGAAGATACTTTTCCTAATAGATTTGACAGAGCCGCAACAAGTAGTACATTATGTAATGACAACGAAGTTGTAAGAGGTATGGATCCCACTCTAGTGACAGAGAAAAAATCAACATTCGCAGTTACAAAACTCTATTTAGGTGGATTTGTCATACATTGAAGCAAAGATTGATCATAAGTCATATGATTTGTGGCTCTGGAAACAATTATCCAACCTGTGACGCGGTCAGCAGATGCTACTAAGGCAGTAAGGATATTAGCTGAAGCATCAGAACCATCAATTGCAGAGAATTGGTTGATTAAAGAAAGAACTGAGCCATTATTACTATCATTCGGCTTATTTGCTCCACGAGAAATTCAGGTCCAGCATCTGCCACCCTTACCTTGGCCCATGCGTTTCCTTTTTCCCTGAGCTACTTCCTCCTCTCTAAACATGTTTCTTACGTATGCTTTTTCCCATTGCAGTGATTGCTTGATCTACTTGGGATAGGTACAGTTTGAGTATGAAATATCAGACTTCTCTTCAGCCATTGCAGTGGAATTGTTGAGCGGATGAATTAGAGTTTTTCTGGTGTAAATTTTTATTTGGATCGGCGCTGCCCAGAGAACACAAGGTGGTGTGAGTTTGTTTGGGTTGGTTTAAGGTTTCAAAACCAGCTGGAAAAGGTTTGGTCGACTGTAATTTGCACGACGACAGGAAGTTTAGGGTTAGGGAACAGATAGGTCGAAACCTGCACCGACACCAAGATAAAAGTAGATTTAGGATTTTGAATGTATTCCGTGTTTTATTTCTCTTAATAGGAGGACAATATCAAAATATATAGTACAAGGATGTATGAGATATGGAATCCATATCCTGGGAACACTAAATATTGAATTCATAATCTAAGCACATCGACTCATGCCAACATGCATTGAATCCCTATAAAACATTAACTCTCGCCAACGTGCATTGGATCCCCATAATAAGTATGTTGACCCATGCCAACAAAAATTAGGTCACAATTTTGAAACAATGCAAAAAAAATGTGTGTGAGAAAGTTGTAGAAACATTGATGGACATTGATGGTAAGAAAAAGGACACATAACACTAGTCTTTGTATGATGGATCTAGGCATCAAGCATAATTTGCACCCAGTAGAAGTTGATGGTCAAATACATGCACCCGACTTGTGACACATTATTTTTGGAACATGCTAGGGGTCCGAATTCGTAAATTTATGAGCGTTTTAGCACATAACTTTGTTGTAGAACTCATATGAATTACAAGTTATGGTCCAAACAAGATAACTCATGAGCACAACCTGCATGCGCAGAAGAGAATTTCTAGTCAATAAAGACACTCTTTTGTATTTGGGACTTGTGTTATGAATGTGAATTATTACAAAATTCATATATAGTAGGGATTCTGAAAATCAGATGGAGAAATCTTGTCCGTTGATTACTAGAGAATTTTGAATAACCAGAATGAATAAGACTTAGATGTGTGCAAATCAGCAAGGTCATTCTGCAAAGCTTGAAAAGTACATAGCTGCATTTGTACGAAGCAATTTCGAATAATCAAACTGTACCACATTAACATTGTAGTACATTTAAATCCAATAAATAATAAATAAACGTGTATATGGTCAAACAAGAAGATTTGTACTAGAAAGAACCATGAAGTACAATGAAGTGAAAATAGTACACAACTAAGTCCTAAGTTGTGCTATATGTTACCACTCTAAGGTAGGGAAGTTGAACAGAGATAAGCGAAAGCCGTAGAGAGGTTCCACATGAGTGACCTGAGATCACATGTAACGCTTGTGTATTGCGCTTGATGTTTTCTCAGGTTGCCCCTGCGGTACCTTCTCTACCATATCATTGCACTGCCGTAGATTTGAATGGCCATTGATAACGGAACCGAAGTGCTACATTGAAAGGTGAGAAAGTTCAAACATGTTTCGGTGTATTGAAATGTAAAAAACATTACTTACTCACTCTCGACTGCTTGTACATATTATTTTGACCAAAATTGAGTTTTATAGGTCTCATGGCACTACATTGTTTCAGTTCCCACTTCTCTTTTCTTCCTAGTAATCCAGGAACCTTTTCTGGGACATTATTGACATCCAGAACAGGAAGGCAGCCAGAAAACCCAACAGCTCGAGGCAACATTCCAATCGGACGCGGGTTCCCTGATTTGGGCAGAACCCATTTGTTTGTATTTCCGACATCAGCATCTGTCTTCTTCAATTCTTTGCTCTTCATTTTGCGACATTAATCAGTTCTAGCTTCTTTGCCGCTTGACTAATGATTCATCTTGCTTTAAATGTAGATAATTTGTATTTATAAGAACACTAGAAGAACATCTTCTGCAGTATCCAAATGTGATGAAACTAAAAAGCAGTCCTCTGTCAGCTGTGCAAGATGGAGGAGAGAATCCATGAGCTCAACCAGAATTGCTTTGGAGACAGTTTTTTCTGCTGAAGAAACTTTTAGTTCCGCTTCAGAATCTTTTTCATGACGAGGTTCTAATTCTTTGAAATTTCCGTGAGCCATGTGAACAGAGAGGAGAGGTGTTCAACCTCTGGCCTATGGTCTACTGATGAAAACTCTCCTAGACAAATTCATAAGAATAGCAACCAGGATTAGAACATTTGGATATTTTAAAGTTTTGAGCACTTGAGAAATCCATCAGACGCTCAATTTTGGTGAAGCAGAAGACTTTGTGTATCCAGCTTTACACATGACGTTGAATTCATGCTAGGAACTGAGAATATCAAATGCATAATTTAACACAAATTAAATGCAGGTGTGTGCACTCTGAAATCAGACTAGGAAACTAAATATACACCATTCACCTAAAACTGCATCGGCTAGCTGCCATGAACAATGAACATGCTTTCGGGCTCCTCTCCATGACCATAAGCAAGCACATGCTTTTCCAATCTAAAAGAAGGGTAAATTACAAAAAACTACCTCAACTATTGGTCTGATGACACTTCCATACCTCATCTTTTAAAAATGACAATGTCATACCTCTTCTTACGAATTTGTCCCAACCTTCCTTCACCACCCCACCACCGCCTCTCTTCCTCCATCTTCACCACCCCACTAAAGAAACTAACAAAACCAAGCCCACACCCAAATCCCACACCAAAAAATAAATAAATAAATAAATAAATACCAAACCCACACCCAGATCCCCTTCCCCTCCTACACACCCATCACCCTCCTACCTTCTCTCCACCCAGTCCCTCCTCCGACCTCTCTCCTCCGTCTGATTCGCCGTCGACATCGCTCTTCCTCTCGACCTCTCGATTTCCTCCTCCTCTCAGCCGTCAAAACCCTCCTTTCCTTCCCACCTCCACTCTCTTCACTTTCAGACCCTTCTCCTCCCCCTCTCCGCTGCTCTCCTCCTCGGCACTAGTGGTTGTAGAGAGAAGAGGGACTTAGAGTGGGAGAGAGATGCGGGAGAAGACAAAGAGAAGAGAGAGAGAAGGTGCAGATGGAAGAAAGGAAGGCCCGTGTCCTAGGCCTTTTTTATTTGTTTAGTTTTTTTAATTTTTAATTTTTTTAATTTTTGAATATTTAATTATTAAAAATATATTTAATTATTTTTTAATCCAGTTGGATTAGTGAGTGGGTCCTATCTCTAGCCACGTCAGCATTTAACAAAAAAAAGTAACAGAAAAACTGACAGAAGTCTGACATGGGCACAAATTCGTAAGATAAAGTAGGACATTGTCATTTTTAAAAGATGAGGTACCAAAGTGTAGTTAGACCAATAGCTAGGTAGTTTTTTGTCATTTACCCCTAAAGGAAATATAGTATTTTGTACAATTCCTGTTTAGTAGCTACCAAATGTAATACAAAGATTGAAATATGTAATTTGATGGGGGAAGCAAGAGGAAACATATCCCAGTATTAAACTGTTTCATGTAAATTTACAAGCTCTCTAAACTCAGGAAATCAAGCTGTTTCTAATCCTTATTGCATACTAGATCACTGACCCATGTCCGGTAAAAAAGCAATCCAATTCTAACCATGTAAATATCAAAAGATTCTATGTATAACCTCATCATAAGTTTACCGGTCTATCTGAATATGGAACAAACAAATACAAAGAAATTAAGGTCAGGTGATTACCTGTCTCATACATCAGTCTTCAGAAGAGACAGAAAGTAACTCCGGTTCCAAGGATTCTGAGGATTCATAGCCTTCAACAAGAACTCCAACAGTACAGAAACAACTTCTGGAGAGAAGGAAGAATACAACCCAATAAGACTTTTCAATATCTTGATAACACCTTTCGAATGGAGACTGTAGTTCGCTAATCACGGACATCAATTATGATTTACACTAGTCTGAGCATATTGTAAAGACAAGCAACTTTCCGTAATACATGATTGGCAGTATCAATGAAAGATGAGGTCCTCTCCATTTTGAAGGCAAAGGAAAGGAGCCCAAATCATAGCTCATGATCTGTAACATAATACAAGTGTCCCTCTAAATTTTATTATGATTGCTCGATTTAGCTTTACATGGGTACAGTCGATTTCTGATATGCTTTTCAGCTAATTCAAACAACTACTACAGCGCATTTTCTGTTAATCCCAGTGACTTCGCCAAACTTTCCTTATTACTTCCAAACTAAAGCCAGATTCCATTCAATACTCTTCTTTAAACCATGTTTGGTTCAACTAACACTACAGAAAATAGAGAGAGAGATGATAAAACTTTATTTCTGAATAAAGCGACTGGAACATGGAAAAAGAAAAGTTTTATCATCAAAAACTTTAGGGGGAGGGGAAGTTTCGAACTCGGGACGCATGGATAGAACCCAAGACCCAATCCACTAGGTTATTGGACCACATGCAAAAAATTGGAAATAATACGCGCTAATATCAAAAGAACTACTGACAAGAACTTCAGATGCTTAAAGACTTATCTTCCAAATGAACTGTACAACGAACTTATACATCTATATCTGGAGTTTCAAAAGGCTGGAGTTCTTTCTCAGAACTACCAAATTTTAGTAAAACGTTTCCTTCTATATACTATTGAATGGGAAGGTTTCAGGTATAGCTGAAAGTGTAATGCAGCTGGGATAAGTCAACAACTCAAACAGTTTTTCAATATTGGTAGAGAGAGAGAGAGAGAGAGAGAGAGAGTTTGTGTGGTTTAATTGAGCATTATAGTTGATCAAAGGCCTTGTTTATACAAATTATTGCACTGTGGTCGATAGCTATGAGAGCATTACATTCATATATATCCATACATCACATGACGATAAGGGATTAAAAAAAGAACAGAGATTAAGAACACAACACTAAAGAAAGCTCACCTTGTGATTGCCATACAATATAACATGGCCAACATTTCCTCTGAAAGCAAAGCATCACTTGATTGATTCGTTTTACAATTATCAAATCATTGACTGCTCCTTTCTATAGTTCACAAAACACATACATGAAGTTAGCAAAGTAGAACAAACACATGATCCCCCGCCCCCGCCAGGAAAAAAAGGACATAAGAAGTTGATCTGAAAAGGCTTTGAAGAGTGGAGTTGGGTGAAAAAGGTACCTAAACTGAGGATCTTTTGCTGAATTTCGACAAGCATTTTGGTAACTTCAACAGCAACAGGAAGACATCCTCTGCTACCCCATGCTGATAACTGTTACCAACAATTCAAAGACAATGAAAACCATATATGACGTTGCTAGAAACGTCCACAAAACTCTACTAAAAAAAAAAAAACAAGAGTATGTCCATTGTTTTCAAAATTATAGCAAAACATGAAGTTGAATTCTCTTACTCTTCACAAAGCAGAGTCCACAGAATCAGGTGAATTCGAAAGGAGAGATTCTTCTACAAAAAGCCACTTGTCCCAACTCAACCAAGGCACTGATTGTAGCTGTACAACGGCGGCGTTGATATGCCCTGAGTATCTCTGGCTTCCCGTTCTAACAATGGTTTCAGTGGAGGAGGAAAGAGGTGGAACTCTCCATCTCTTAGAGATACTCAGGGCCTTCCTTGGGTCCTAGGTACTCTTTTACCAAAACCGCGTGGCGGGGGTGCCTCGGCCACGGTCATCTCTACCAGGATGCTCAGAGAAGTCTTTGAGGGTAGACCCTCCTTGTCCCTTAGCTTGTCTCCTACAGAGCCACAAGTCTCACCTACACTGCCAATGTCAGGTATGGCTACCCACGTGGAAACCAACTCAAGTCTATCTCTAAATTTGTCGGCCTTTGACTTCCTCCAGAAAAAATGCCCCCCACCCTCGACCGCTCCTAATGCCAGCTGGCTTGCGGAGTCTTCCCAATCCACCTTGACTTTCTTGCCACCCTCAAAGTCAACTGAAGGTGTCCATTAGCAGGAGCCATGTGTAGTGCTGCAGTTAAACCATAATTAGTTCAAACACAGTTTTGCATTAGCTTGTTGATGACCAATAGCTTAATTATCACTAACTATAACAATTAAAGAAGGGAAAAAAAAAAAAAAATCAACATTCACATCAGTCTTGAAATTCAACTTAGAAGCATTTGTTTTTGTGAGCAAAAATAATTATATTAGCTTCTCTGTATGAATTTCATAATATACAAATCCTTGACCAAGAACAAAATGAAGATAACGGCAAAAAACTAAGCCTAACAAATAATAATTTCTCACTTAAAGCTTTAAAGGAGCAACATGACATATTAACAAACCATCAATTTCTGAAGGCTCTATTATGCTTTATTAATTCTTATCAAGGAATGAAATTTCATTTTGGTCAGCTGTTTGAACTAGGAAATTTGGAAATTTGGTGAAAGGAAAATAAAAGGATATTCGTTGCATACTGCATAAGTACAAAATCTAGCTCAGTATATGATATATTTCAAAATAACTAACACATAAACGATACACCAATAATCAACCCGATTATAAAAATCTCAGCCAAAGCCAAAAGTAAAGCCACTTATCCAAGAAACAAAGGAATATTCACTGCCACACGTCAAATGTCAGTTAAAGTCCTGTTAGGGAAGAAACAAAAAGGAACCAAAGGGGACGGAAACTACAAAGAGGAATAAGGAGCGAAGGACGCATCCCATAACTAATGCAACATTGCACCAAAAAGATGACTTAAAATTCTAGCTTTTTGTGTGGTCCGTGGACTTTGGAATCTACTGTTCAGGAGGTGTTACTGATTCACCCACAGTTAAGAAAGAGTAGAGGGAATCCCCCTTCTTTGAAAACAAGACTGAATCGATATAAGCAGATTATACCATAAAAATAACACTATCAAATAATCCACCTCTTCAACCCTCATGTCCTCAAATATCCTAACACCTAACTACTTTCTGATGAAATGGAGAACCTAATTCTTCACTTCCAAGATAAATTAGGTTTTGAGATCCCTATTCTTCCAATACCATGCCTGCATCTCTTCAACTTCTCTACCTTCTTCACAAAATTTACAGATTGTTATCAATTTTATCAAACCTCTGACTTCGAGGGTATATAAAAGTGACCTTACCCACTGAATCTCAAAATTCTTAACCACAGAAATATTTTTCAGATTTTCCTAAAGCACTCCTGATGGCAAATCATTGCTCTGTTCGTTACAGTATCAACCTTATGGAGACCAACTAGTACAAGAATTAAGAAAGGAAGAAAGAAAGGGCATCTATCCACAGCTAGTCGTGCGAAAGCAAGGCCTCTGGATGGGTGATTTGATCCAGTCAAAGTTCCAACATTATTACATGGGATACAAGTGATTATTCCCAGGAAAGCAAACAAAAAAAAGAAAAATAAAAACTGCATGCTCATTAAAAAGAACTAGATGAATCCACAAAGTGTCATCGCATGTTGAATCTGTTAATCCTAGCGCAAACTAATTCCTTAAACCAGCAATAGAATTATAAATGTGGTAGAACGAAAGTATGAATAACCTGTTCGGCCGTGGAGATCCTTTAGAATCAAGGGAAAGACCAGCAGATTCTAAGCTTTTAAGATCATCCATGTCATCGTACCTAGCAGCCTGCCACACATAGAAAACCATCTCAAACTACAAATTTTTATCATAAAAGAAGGATCTATATCTCTAATAAACATCTCAGTGCACAATCAGAACACTTTGGAAAAGGGAGTTGGGTACCTCCAGCAAGGCCTCTACCCTCTCCAATGATGTTTCGACTGGAGAATCACCAACTGTATTTCCCCCTTCCCCCATTTGCCACCGCCGCTACAAGAACAACACAGTCGTTTTCATTAGCTTAAGACCCAAAACCCACAGCATAAATACTATCACTCCCATCAGCTTAAACCCTAAACCCAAATTCAAACCTGAATTCAACTTCTAGGAGATAAATGAAAGATTACAGGAAAATGTAAAGCGCCATACAAAAAAATTTATAGCAAATAAACAGACAAAAATACCAAAGCTACTGGATTTGCTGAAGTACCCTAAAAACAAAAGAAATGAGCAAAACCAAATAGGATTGCTTACCCAGCAAAAGATAGTTTACTAGCGTCGAAGAGTGGGTGGGTGTTTGCTTCAAGATCAATTCGGTGGCAACTCGGTTATAATTGGATAATGGTCTCCACCTCACCTCCTGGAACGACTCGTTCCACATCCGTGGAACACAAAACTATAACTTCTCTGTCTCCTTCTTCTTCCTCCTTGTTTCCATCCGAGGGCATCTTTATTCCTGCTCCGTTCCGTTCCGTCCTGTCCCGTCCCGTCCCATTCCGTTCCGTCCCGTCTCGTCTGCATACCAAACGATACCTTTAATGGACGAATTTAATTCCCGTCCTTCAACTTTTCACAACATGGACAATTCATTGTAACTTTTGTAATGTCCCTTAAGGTCAACTCCAAAGGTTGAGTTAAAATCTACATTTTCTGTTGTCGCTTAATGCTACGATTTTTAATGCTACGATTTAATGGTATTTCTCTTTTTAAAAAATACAAATTTAAATCATATCATTATTAATTCATTGCACAGCCAATCTCACTCCACTCCCTGTAAATAATATTTTTTGTTCCAAAAAATAAAATAAATAAAATTAAAATCCCTACATTTTCAGTTTTAAAACCCCCAAATCTATTCCAACAATTAGGCTAAAATTTAAGCACATCTAGCCCAAAAATTAAGCCAGGTGAGCGGCATGTCCCCATGATGGAGGTGAACACTCCCAGGAATCGCGCTCCAATTTCCTGCACACGGCAAAGCTGCAGTGGGTGACCCACTGCTGACAGCTTTGTCTGCCACCTTATCGCATCCCAAGCTTATTTTGTACTTCAACAGCAGTAACAATTGGGTTGTTGGTTGATACAACGTTCACATTCAACTTCTCATTGTAAAATATAACTTATAAATATATTAATTTAAAGGTTGAGATTGAATATGATCAAGTATAACGATAAAAAAAAAAATCTAACTGTCCAAATTAAATCTAATGTTTAAAATAACTAGAAAATTATTAAATCAAAATTCACCCAAAATTAAAGCATAATTATTTTTATTTTTTTTTCCCACCGGGCTATGAAGAGCTTTGAGGGTAGGTTGCAGCTTTTGTCTAGTCTAGAGTCGGGCGCTGTGTAGGAAGACTCGCCCTAACAATTTTGAATGTTTTGCTTATGTACAAAGTGAAAATTGGATCGCTTTTCAATCATCTATAAATTATTACAAGTGAATGTGAGTACACGATTTAAATAACAAAAGATCCAATATTTAAATTTAAGAATTGTATTTAAAATGATTGGAAATGTCAAAATAAGAGATATAAGCAAATTCATTATTTATTAGTCTAAATATTATGATAATCTACATAATTTTTTTTTAAAGAAAATTGCTAAAAAAAAAAATTTAGCCTAAATTCATTTTTTTAATAATCTAAATTTTAAGCTAAAACCATTGGAAGAGAAATGTTGTTTTTGGTAGGCGATGGTTTAGTTTCAATAATTCGTTTTTTTGCCAAAACCGAAAACTGAATTGAAAATACTGCTTGGTTCAGTTTGGTTTCTTATGTCCGATTTAATTTTGGTTTAATTTTTCCGATTTAGTTTGGTTTTTCAAAACCTAAAAAATTGTTGTTTTTGAATCTAAATAAATATGTCATGAAGCGGGGGGTGAGAATTGAATTTATAAAAATTAAAATATATACAAGGATTGAACAAATAAGTTATAATAGTATCATCGGGACTGAAACTGATCGAAGTGGAACAATGTATCCTCAGCAAAGAGTTGGTCACATGCATGTCAAATAAATGATCTCTAAGAGCATCTCCAGAAGAGATGTCAAATTTTGAACATAAAATTTAAATTTGAAAGCCTATGTGGCATTTTGACATCTTCTCAAGTTTTATTGTCCACCCGATATGTCAAATTAAATTATTATTTTATTATATTATACAATAAATTAATAAAAATTTAATAAAAGGCATTTAATAATTGTGAAATCCGAACTGTTCACCATTTCTTTTTAACAAGAGAGAACCGTTTACTTACCTCGATTGAACAAAAGAGAAACGGGTCAACAACAGCATTAATTGCAATGATGATTAAACCAATAAAAAATTAATAAAAACATTAATAATTAATTTTGAAGCTGCTGTCAAATTTGTGTCACATCCCGACTCGGACGGAACCACTTCTCAAGCCCGACTTCACCGTAGCACGATATTCTCCTCTTTGGGCGCCGACCACGTCCTCACAGTTTTGTTTCTAGGAACTCACATGAAAACTTCCCAGTGGGTCACCCATCATAAGAATGCTCTCGCGCACTACTCGCTTAACTTCGGAGTTCCCTTGGAACTCGAAGCCAATAAGTTCCCAAAAGGTCTTGTGCTAGGTAGGGATGGGAATATACATATAAGGCTTAGAGGATCTACTCCCCTAGACGATGTGGGATGTTACAATCCATCCCCTTAGGAGCTCGACGTCCTTGTCGGCACACGCACGGTCAGGGGTACTGATACCAAATTGCCCCTACCACAACCCGGGCTCGACTCCACCGTAGCACGATATTGTCTGCTTTCGTCAGCACACACCCGGCTAGGGTTAGGCTCTGATACCAAATTACCCTCACCACAACCCGTGCTCGACTCTACCGTAGCACGATATTGTCCGCTTTGGGCCCTTACCACACCTTCATGGCTTTGTTTCTGGAAACTCACACGAGAACTTCCTAGTGGGTCACCCATCATAGGAATGCTCTCGCGCACTATTCGCTTAACTTCGGAGTTCCTTTGGAACTCGAAACCAGTGAGCTCCCAAAAAGCCTCGTGCTAGGTAAGGATGAAATATACATATAAGGCTTAGATGATCCACTCCCCTGGGCGATGTGGGATGTTACAATTTGACAGCAACTCTCTTGCTGCCAATTTACGTTATCGTCACATAGGATTTAACATTTCGGTTGAAGAACATTAGTATGGTTTTTTTTACTGTTATAGTTTATATGAACATTTTAATATCTCCTTTGGAGATGCTCTAACGCTTTATATCTTCTTATGGCCGTCAGCAACTGATTGCATTAGTATTGGTATTAATTGAACAATTACAAGAGATCAATCTAACCAATAAAAAGAAGCAATCAATTAAATCCATATAATAAAAAATTTACAAAACAAATCAAGCAATCTAAATTCCTCATCGTTTTTCCATTGTTTCTGGAAGAAATTTATGCAAATAATAACAAAATTGTTTTGGGTTTTACCTAGCGAGATTGATGAATTTTGTACCAACGTCTCGTTCTTACGAGTCTTCCTTATTTGCCAGTACGAACGCTACCATTTTTGTATTCCGATGCATCTAGCCCATCTAAAGGACGCTTAAGCCAAGTTCACTGTGCAAAGAATATTCCATATCCTTTCATTGTTAAATGAAGATTTAACCAAATAGATATTTTTATAATCCACATCTTATTTTGGTGGAGTATATTGTTTTACTAAGTCCAATAAAATTAGAAAACTTTAACGGAAATCTCCTAATACTATTCACTTTAATGAAAAATTACATTTTTACACTAAAAAGTCAATCCTGATACTATTTATTTTATCATTTATTTTGTCATTATCGTTAAAATTCAAAGTTTTCAAACCATTTTCATTAATTTCCTCATAAAATTATCATCTCTCACCCAAATAGGAGTGGTGTCCTCACATTCACAACACTATCATCATCCCTCTCGTTCTCATATTCACAAGGGCGTATTGTGGCGCGACCTAGTGAAACCGTAAACAACATACGAACGAAAATCAATAAACTATTCTCTTAGTTGTCAAAAACGTTCATCCAAAAGCATATCGCTTATACCCAGAATGTTTATCACAAAACACCAACAAGACATTCTTAATCCTTAAGAAAGCAATGTCTTTGTCCCACAAGCGTTATATGTACTCGTGTTCAAGTATTTTACATGAACGCTAACCAGTTAATGAGCCATATTAAATGTGGTGTAATAACAAATTGTCTTCTCTAAGCATTCATGTCATTTTGATTAGACTTGATCGCTTTCCCAGACATGCAGTAATGATTGCCGATCGCCATATATGAGTATGCTAAAGTAGCAATTGTCAAGTATCTTCTTTTTGACATTGTCTTGAATCCAAATGCTATACATGTTGGATTAAAATCCAGTGGCTCATATAGTAATGAAGAAGGGATTCATTCATTACATCCACTACTTTGGTCAACTGAAGCACATATAGTTGTTTGAATCATCATACGAATCTTATAACAACTCACATTCAACTGTAATCGGGCTACTTGGAGTAATGGAAACACATACATAAATTACTCCAAGATCGACATTCTCCATAATAATAAGGTCACGTTTTAGTTCTCTCTCTAAGATGACATATCAGACAATATATGGCATTCTTTGCTGTGCCAAGTAATGCATGCGTCCGGATGCATTCTCTACGCCCAGGACATGTCTGGATGCACTCTATACATTCAAGACATGAATCTCTCAACTTGCTCACTATCTCAAAGCGCCAAGGTGAAATTTCGTGTGAGAGAACCAATTCAAAGCCCAGTGACACATAATGAAGATGTGTCTGCATCATTTCACTTACATGTATGAAATATGGTACCAAACATTAATCATCACAAGAGCAACTCGTGGATATAACCATGTATGTTGCTCAAGATGCGTCTCTAGACTGCACCTTCTTTGTGCACTTTTATTTAAAACAATCATTTCTGATAGGAGCAACCATATGTTTGGATCTTCCCGTATTAGAGACTAATTGCATGGACTAGGGCAGTTATTTTCTGCATTCGAGTACAGCTCCCAATCTCTTAGGCTATCTAGTCTTTGCAAGATCCTCAAAACCTCATCCTTTGAGAGCATTTAGGTGTTTCACCTTATACTATGTTGCCTTTCTCTCTCTTTCCATTTCCTACCCTTAAGGGATGTCTCTAGTCCACCTTAAGGTCACTAGTAGGGAAGGGCAAAGGTCCCACCGTGATTTTGAAGCTCTCTTCATTTATTCACATGAGTATGTTCAAAAGTTTGCTTAATGAACGCAATTAACTCTAATTAATTTTAAGATTGCTCATATCAATATCAAAGGCGGCGTGACTTGTTTGTTTTTTTTATTTGGATCGGCACTGCCTAGAGAACACAAGGCGGCGTGAGTTTGTTTGGGTTGGCTTTAGGTTTCAAAACCAGCTAGAAAGGGTTTGGTTAGCTGTAATTTGCACAATGACATTGAGTTTAGGGTTAGGGAACAGACTGGTCGAAACCTGCACTAACGGCAAGATCAAAGTTGATTTAGGATTTTGAATTTTTTCGTCTTTTATTTCTCTCAATAGGAGGACAGTATACATATATAAAAGTACAAGGATGTTTGCGATATGGAATCCATATTCCGAGAACACTGAATTCCTATACTAGATTTATTGACTCACGCCAATATGCATTGAATTCCTGCAGTACATTGACTCCCGCCAACATACATTAAATCCATATTCTAAGTATATTGACTCACGCCAACAAAAATTACATCACAATTTTGAAACAATAAAAAAAAGGTGTGAGAAATTTGGGGAAACATTGATGGTAAGTAAAAGGACACATATAACACTCGTCTTAATATGATGGATCTAGGCACCAATCATAATTTGCACCCCGTATAAGTTGATGGTCAAATACGGATGCACCGGACTTATGACACATTATATTTGAAACATAATAGGGGTCTATGCGAATTCGTAAATTCAGTGAACACTAAACCCCAAAACCAAAGTTTTTACGCACATATACCTTTGTTGTAGAACTCGTATGAATTACAAGTTATAGTCCAAACAAAGTAACTCATGCGCACAATCCACACGCACAGAAGATAATTTTTAGTCGATAAAGACACCCATTTGTATTTGGGACTAGTGTTATGAATGTGAATTATTACATAATTCATATATAGAAGTAGGGATTTTGACAATCAGAAGGACAAATCTTGTCCGTTTGATTACTAGAGCAATTTTGAACAACCAGAATGGATAAGATTTAGATGTCTGCAAATCAGCAAGGTCCTCCAAAGCTTGCAAAGTACAAAGCTGCATTTGTACGAAACAATTTCGAAAAATCAAACTGTACCACATTGACATTGTAGTACATTTAAATCCAATATATAATAAATAAACGTGTATCTGGTCAAACAAGAAGATTTGTACTAGAAAGATACATGCAGTACAATGAAGTGAAAATAGTACACAACTAAATTCTAACTTGTGCTATATATTACCATACTACGGCAAGGAAGTTGTACAGAGATAAGCCAAAGCGGTAGAGGGGCTCCACAGGAGTGACCTGAGATCACACGTAGCGTTTGTGTATTGCGCTTGATGTGTTCTCAGGTCGCCCCTGCGGTATCTTCTCTACCATATCATTGCACTGCTGTAGATTTGAATGGACATTGATAACGGCCCCGAGGTGCTACATTGAAAGGTGAGAAAGTTGTACCATATTTCGGTGTATTGAAATATAAGAAACATTACTTGCTCTCGACTGCTTGCATAAATTATTTTGACCAAAATTGAGTATTATAGGTCTCATCGCACTACATTGTTTCTGTTCCCACTTCTCTTCTCTTCCTAGTAATCCAGGAACCTTTTCGGCGACATTATTGACATCCAGCCAGAAAACCCAACAGCTCGAGGCAACATTCCAAGCAGACGCCGGTACCATGATTTGTGAACAGAGAGGAGAGGGGTTCAACCTCTGCCCTGGCAACCAGGATAAGAACATTTGGATACTTCTAAGTTTTGAGCACTTGCGAAATCCATCAGACGCTCAATTTTGGTGAAGCAGAAGACTCTGTATATCCAGCTTTACACGACGTTGAATTCATGCTAGGAACTGAGAGTATCAAATGCATAATTTAACACAAATTAAAAGCAGGTGTGTGCACTCTGAAATTAGACTCCGAAACTAAGTACACACCATCCACCTAGAACTGCATCTGGCTAGCTGCCATGAACAATGAACATGTTTACGGGCTCCTCTCCACGACCGTAAGCTGTTGTATAGTATTTTATACTAAAAACAGGACGCTTACACAGAAATTTTGTATGCTCAACGTCGATTATTCATCTAACCTAATTCAGCAGCTTATGCTCCAGAACCACACGTAAGCACACGCTTTTCCAACCTAAGGGAAACATAGTATTTTGTACATTCCTGTTTAGTAGCTACCAAATGTAATACAAAGGTTGAAGTATGTAATTTGATGACAGGAAGAAAGAGGAAACATGTATCAGCATTCAAACTGTTTCATGTAAATATCTTAAGATTCTATGCAGAATCTCAGCATAAGTTTACCAGACAATCTGAATATGGAACAAACAAATACAAAGAAATTAAGGTCATGTGATTACCCGTCTCATACATCACTCCTTCCTGAGTCTCAATCATATCAAGGACTGCGTTCGGAAGAGCCAGAAGTAACTCCGGTTCCTTATTACTTCCAAACTACAGCCAGATTCCATTCAATACTGTTATTTAAACCACGTTTGGTTCAACTAACACTACAGATAATAGAGAGAGATGATAAAAATTTATTTACGAAGAAAGCGACTGGAACTTACATGAAAAAAGAAAAGTAATTTGGTAAACTCTCTCTCAAAATCTCACCCATTTTCAAAAAACCAAGTTTGAGAAGAAATTTAGACTTGCTTTTCTCTTCTGTTCTTTCTTTTTCATTCTTATGTTAGAACGAAATGTTGGTATGTGGTGGAATTCAAATACTTAATTTTCTTATCCTTCTTCTTCCACAGGGAAACCAAACAAAATGCAAGTGTACACCAAAAACTTTGCCACCTTCCACTAAATTACTAAAGTTAGGGCTCAATGTACCGTCCAGATTTCTATGAAAGGATATCGCCAGTCATTAGTGACAAAAACTTATTACGTCCATAAAGCCAATTACTATATCTTCCATCTATAGAAAAATTGAAATTTGACACAACAAAAATCTGCTCTCATCGGAAAATAGAGGTTCCATTGTTTATATGCATATTTTGATTTGGTGTTTAGCCTAAATTGTCAGACCTAAACCAGGACTTTATCTTTTAGAGATGGGAAGGAAGGGAATGACGACAACAACATGTAACCCTTCCATAAACTGTTTATTTTTATTTTTTTAAACAAAAATAGAAAATCATTTTCTGTATTGTAGACATGAAACAAACGAGAAAATCCATTCACATTGATTGTTGATACTAAATTTTTTTCATTGTCTTCATAACACAAGGCACTCGTGAGTTGAAATTTGTCACAAGTCAATTAAGTGAAAATGTGCATCCTTATCTTCTGTAAATTATTATTAAAGTTGAATGGTAAAACAAAGCTCGTTTTCACAGCTTAATAGAATTCAGAAATCTTCTCAACTATTTTGAGCACCCACAAGTAGTTTTCTCAGACACCAACAATGTCTTAGTAGGAATTTTATTATGATTATTCATCACCAAATAAACTAGATGCATCAACCATAAAATCTAAACATTAAGAGTAAACATCAGAAGAATCTGAAGAAACAAAACTTTGAAGTACCAAGCGTGATCCGTACCTTCACTGATGCACCATGAAGAACCTCAAGTGTGGGAAGATCACGGTGAGATCCCTCTAAAAAAGAATTCAATACAAAGCGAAAGAAAAAAGAAATATCAACATGCAGTATCACAAGTATTAAAAAAAATCACTTAAATACCCAAAACCTAAAGGGTTAACCAACGAACAAAAGAAAAATGTACAAATGAAATGTTGAGTTTCTCACCATGATGAGTATCAATCAGTGGACGTGGAATGCCAATTGCATCAGCAGCCACAACAATTTAAACCTCTGTTTTCTTCCATGTCTTCTTGGCAACACCATTCACAAGCCTTCAGAAACATGACCACTAGTGTGAAGCTAACTTATTCATGTAGCACTACCTGCGACAAAATTGAAAAGGATGCAAAAAATAAATATGAGCATAAATAATAATCCCCAACGAATTTGAGTGAATTACATTTATTTTTATATGAACACAAAGTCATGGAAGGCCAATCAATTACAAATATCTCTGCTGTATGCCTAACCACGAAAAACCTTCAAAACTATATTGTTATACAACTATTATCACATATGTCATGGGACATAGAGCTTTTACTATTATTAAGGGGAGTGGGGAGTGTTTGAAACTATTATATTAAACTAGGGGACGGGGGAGTTTTGAACTCGGGACGCATGGTTAGAACCCAACACCCGATCGGCCTATCCACTAGGATATTGGACCACATGCAAAAAATTGGAAATAATAAGCGCTATATCAAAAGAACTCCTGACAACAACTTTGGATGCTTAAAGACTTCCAAATGATTTGTACAACGAACATATACATCTGCTATATATGGAGTTTCAAAAGGTTGGAGTTCTTTCTGAGAACTACCAACTTTTAGTAAAACGTTTCCTTCTACATACTTATTGAATGGGAAGGTTCCAGGTATAGCTGAAAGTGTAATGCAGCTGGGATAAGTCAACAACTCAATATTTTTTTTTTGCCGCGGGTAGGGGAAGAGAGAGAGAGAGAGAGAACACATGACGATAAGGGAGTAAAGAAAAGAACAGAGATGTAAGAACACAACAATAAAGAAGGCTCACCTTTATGATTGCCATACAATATAACATGGCCAACATTTCCTCTGGAAGCGAATTATCACTTGATTGATTCATTTTACAATTATCTAAATCATGTCAAATCTGTAGTTCACAAAACACATACATTAAGCTAGCAAAGTAGAACAAACACATTATCCCCCGCCCCGTCGGGAAAAAAACGACATAAGAAGTTGATCTGAAAAGGCTCCGAGGAGTGGAGTTGGGTGAAAAACGTACCTAAACTGAGGATCTTTTTGCTGAATTCGACAATCGTTTCGGTAACTTCAACCGCAACAGGAAGACATCATCTGCTTCTCCATGCTGATATCGGTTGACAACAATTCAAAGACGATGAAGACCACATATGAAATTGCCAGAAACGTCCAAAAAACTCAATTAAAAGCAAAACCCACTTGAGAAAAAAAAAAAAAACAAGAGTATGTCTATTGTTTTCAAAATTATCGCAAAAATGAAGTTGGATTCTCTTACTCTTCTCAAAGCGGAGGCCAGAATCAGGTGAATTCGAAAAGAGAGATTCAAGCCACTCGTCCCAGCTCGACCAACGCACCTAGATGTAGCTGTACGACGGCGGCGTTGATATGCCCAGGTCCTCATAATCTCTTGATTCTTCCGAAAACCCTAAAAGTGCCTCCACTACAACTCTTCCATTCGCTCCGGCAGCACTAACAACTAGGGGTGGAAAAAATTCCCGAAAATCCCAAACCGAACCGAAAAAATCCCGATCCCAAACCAAAAATTTCCCAAACCGAAATTCCCGAAATTTTCGGGATGCTATTCCGAACCGATCCCGAAATTTTGGTATGGGATTTGGGATTGACTTCTCAATATTTCGGGAATCCCATACCAAACCGAAATTATATATTATTAATTTATATATATATATATTATATATTATTCTTTTATAATTGATGTTAGTAGTTTCTAATTCATGCTTTGCAACCTGGAATGCCTTACACCTTGCATATTTTTCATGTTCTGTTTGATATTCATTTGGATTTTATTATTGTTGCTGTCATGGCTAATGATTTCAGAAGGTTTGATTCTTTTGTCTCTTAACAGATTGTCAAAAGGGTTTAATTAATTTGAATTTTGACTTTGATAAAAATAATCAAGCATGCCAATATTTGATTAAATGGTAGTGTGAATGAAATGACATTCCTAGTTCATGAATGTGTTCTTAAATTATATATTTGAAGAATAATTCATAATTTCATATTTTAATTTGGGATTCCCGATTTGTCCCGAAATCCCGAAAATATTTCGGGATTCCCGAAATTTGGGATTCCCGAAATTTTGGTTTGGGATTGGTCTTCAAATTCCTGTCCCAAAAAATTTCGGTTTGGGATTCGGGATACTACTTTCGGTTCGGTATCCCATACCGAACCATCCCTACTAACAACAGTCAATGACAGAACATAGTTAAGACGAGTGCATTTCATTTTATATCTTTTTAATTTTCGATTGTCGAATCAATGTATTGAAAAAGATCAACGAACATAAATTATTAAGGATATGTGAGAACTACAATGAAATATGTGAATAGCACGTTCTAAAATTTATATAAACTACGATGACACTATTGATCTATAGTGTCCGGACGGATTTGCCCTTCAGCTTCTTTTTTTTTTTTTTTTTTTTTTTTTTTTGGGGAAACTTCCCTTCAGCTTCTTCTTAGTTCTATGCTTATATCCTCATTTGCACAATGAAATAACAACTTCGCCCCTCGATGGCCACACGGTCGTCATCGATGGCCTTTCCTGTTCGATTTCTCTGCTGTTTCTGCTTTTCATTTTGCTGTTTTCTCTCACTCCATTTCTTGTAATTGGCTTTTTCTTTTTCTGCCCCATGTCTACACGTGTTGGTTATCGCGACTTGGAAAACGGTGGAAAGGCGAGGAAAACAGTGGAAAAGCCCATTTGCTTCCATTTCATGTTCTCAAAAGGGCATCCCATCCCATCGCCGTTCTTGAGTTCTCTCGATGGCGTCTTCCTTCTCACTTTCTTGCTAAAAATGACAGGATCAGTGCATATCTTTTTTCTGCAAAAATAGAAACGATGGCCTGTTCTTCCCTCATTCTCCAGCTTCCTTCCTCCTCCTCATCCGTTGGACAGCATCCCCTCCATTTGGACATCTCTCTTAGAAAGTCAGTGCACATCTCTTCAATTTTCTATCCAGTTTTCTCTGTTAGAATCTCTAGAGAAAAACAAGTTGATTTTTTTTTATAGTTTTTGGTTGGTGGGTTTTTACTTATTTGATTCTTTGTGCAGGTAAAGGAAGAACCCATAAGAGATATGTTCACTGAAGTACTTCATAGGAGTGTCCTTCATTGGGTTAGAAAGGTTTGTGAAGAAAAATCATTACCCTCTTCCTTTTTTGGAATTAAAAAAAAAATAAAGTAGGGTTTAATTTTTACAGTTGTTTGATTTAGTTCTCTCAGTAGCATGTTTGGTATTTTTACTGATTCACTACCTGATTAATAAAACCCATATTTTAATTCTTTTAATTTTATGGGTTTTTGGCCTCTGATTTTGGTTTTTAATGTTTTTTTTCAGTGATTAACTTCTTTGGTGTTTAAATTTTTATGTTTTCTCAATGATTGAATTCCAAGATTTCTCAACGTTTTGTCAAAGCTATGGTTTTGACCATTTTATCTTGATCTCACAATCGTCGGTGCAAGACCTTGAGAATATTGGTCTTTGCTTTCGTCTCCAACCTCGGAGTTCGAACCGGCTTTCCGATGAATTTTCAGTCCAATCCGGGCACGCCATGCCTTGAAATCATGACCAAGTACATCGTGTGTGTGTGTGTACATATATATATAAGTTTTATTTTGAATTTGTGTTGATTCGAACGAAACATAACGACTTTGGTTTCAGGTGTATTGAATCGCTCAGTCTCTCTTACTTGTGTGTTCATTTGCATTTTGCAGTAATTGAATTCTTCATTTGGATTCTTCTGTTTCAGAGGCTTTCTAACTCATCTTTTAATAAAATCACCCACCTGGGCTTTGTCAAACACTACAATTAATTTCAATTTTTGTAAAGCTGGATCTGCAGGTAAGAGTTCTACTCTGTACAATAGTTATGAACTAGAGTTTGTGTTTGGATGGTTATGATTCATGTTACACGATCTTGATTTATATGTTTAGTCAGAAAAGACATCCCTAAATCAAACTCTATGGTACTGACATCAGTTTCTTTTCTATGATGTTTAAACTTGGGTCGTTTCTTCTTCCTCCTATTCCTTCTCATTGAATCCAGTTCTTCAGGGTGTTGGTCTCTGTTATCATCGGCGATCCCAGAGCTGGGACCGTTGTCGGACAAGTTGAATTGAACTCAGGTATGTTCTAAGATTCATCCCGATCCTATTTGTTTAGGTTTGTTAATTTTTGCTCTATTTTTCTGAAATTGATTGATTAATTTGTTGCATTAGTGTGGTTGTAGATGAGCATTTGAGATAGAGATTTTGGGTTTTCCTTTTGGGTTTTCCCAAAGGCAAGAACTAAAACCTAAACGGATAAATTAGGACATGAATTATGGATAAAAGGCATGCAATAAACCGGCAGAGTCTAAAGCTAATCTAATATGGACTACCATAATCATGAACTATCAATTTTCTATCTTTTCAATTTCTACAGAGCACCTTCCTGCAAATGAGTCTTACAAACTTCCACTCGGTTCTATCAATTTTGTTAGAATTAACAATTTTGTTTTGTTGTTTATTTATACCTGCATACATATATTTGTGCTTTTAAAGGTATGCGCGTTTGGGCATGAACGCCCTCTCTTACATATGAGTTATCCTTGAGCAGATGCATATGAATTGAATTGCAGTTGAGGCAACATTTGTGTCGCTGTCCCAGATTCCCCAACCATGCCAGGCATGTAAATTCATTTTGGTAAGTTAAAGTATGTTATGCATGTTAAACAGAAGTTTTGGTGTTTTTTGTTCTGTAATTAGCTATGTATTTGCCTTAGTCTGCATGTGCGTAGTGTAGATAATTTTAACCAACATTATAGAATCCATGTTCTGTTGAAAATTTTGAATGTTCGGAGACGGAAAAGATAAGTTTTGGGATACTTAGTTTCATCCGAAAACAAATAGTGTTTATCATCACCAAGTGGTACAAAGAGTATTTTAAAGTGTTTTTTAACCAATCTATTGTCGAGTTTTCTAGCGGGTTTCTTATTTTATTTTCCGTTGTTTTGCAAGAAACTAAAGCCTTTCCATGCTAGAGAGTTCCACAGGTATGTCACCGCTCTTTGACATATTTCTGCTTTGATTTCCAATACAAGGTTAAATTCTTTGTTTTCCAACAAATTTCAGTTAGGTAATTTGATTTCCCTCAAAAGATATAAATTATGTGTTTTCTTTAATCATTTTGTTATAATATTCAACCCATTTCAATTTAATACCAACTGAATCCTAATTTGTTCAATTTCTTTTCATTAGGCAATTGAGTGTGGTTGTTTGCCGTTCTCTTTGAGGTGAGATAAAATTTATATATGTAGATATATGTATCTTAACAACAACCATGGGGGTTGCTAAAGACTTTTCTTTTTATCTAAATTGTTTATTTTTTTCAAGTGCTTCTCAAGAATTTACTTCTTTTTGTCACTATTTATATTGCAGAAATTACAAGCTATGCTACAATTCCAGTTAGTGTTTTAAGTTGTTAACTTACTATTTAAACTTTAATTTTCCAGCCCCATTACGAAAATTTGCTAGGCTTTTCAGTGTTCCTGGTGCTGTACATCCATTTGAGACCAAGGTGGACTGTACATCAAAGATATATATATCTTTGTGTCTATTTACTTACCCTTTTCAAACTTTATACTTCTCGAGTGAAATGGTAATTTAATTTCTTAAGCTTACCGTTTATCACTATAAAAGATGGCCTATTTTCTGAGCATTATAATGTCTACGTTTGCACATTATCCAACTTGCTTCCAGGAACTACACGGTTTGGTTATGATTAGGTAAAATAGGTCGATTATATTTCATGAGGATATCAATAGGGACTATCTACCAAATTATTGTGTGTAAATAGTATGTATATGCACATCAAATATTATTTTTTGTATGTAAATAAAATTACATACAAAAAAATTTGTACGGTTGACAGTTAGGAGTTCAATTTGTAAGAGATGTAAATATTAGAACAAATGGCAATAGAACAGCCAATCCATATGGGTTGTAAATAGATTTCTACATGTAAATAGTATTGCATATTGTATTTATTTAGAACTTTTTACATATTTTATATAGTTTTAAGACCTGCAACATCACGTGGGCGCTGTTGCTAGTTACATATACTACAACGCAATGGAAAAAACATTGTTCCTAAGTGTGGAGCCAAAAATAATCACAATGCGACACGTGGATTTTTGGATAACGCAGGACAAAAATACCCTTGAGGTATACTGGGATTTCTACGCGCAAGCAGCGGACAATCATCCCTCAACAAAGTCAAAAGTGCCCAAAGAAGGTAACAAATTCAAAATTATTTTATCCTTCCTCATTCCATATTCTCTACAAAGCAATCATTCCATAACCTTCAAAACATTCCATAAAAATTAGGTTAATTGGTTAATTAATGGATTTATTTCCTAATTAATCCATTAATCACCAATTAAATCACTCATTATACCAATTAATCACCCATTACACAAATTATCATCCATTACACACCAAAAATACTCCAAAGGGCCGGCCATCTTTTTTCCAAAAGGGACCGGCCATGCTTTATATATTAACCCCATTTTTCTCTAAAAAGGTAGGTCTTCACTCTTGCTAAAATTCTCCAAAACTCTCAAACACCTTTCTCTCTAAATTCTAACTTTGACATCAGAGGTTCTTCGGCCAAAACCCCCCATTCATCGTGGGCGTGTAAGGCTTTTGGCTTTGACTCAAGGTGTTAGTTGTTTTGTAGGTGCAATTTTGTTTAAG